GACTACTCAGAATAAAAAGTCTGGTATATCTTTTTCAGCATGGTGTTTTATCTCAAAAAAAATCTAGAACCTGGAATCTGCATAAAACAAATTGTCAACAAAGTCTGGATCAGGGAGTTTATTTTAAAGCAGGTTTATTTCAGATTTATAGCTGACTTATTGCTTTGCTTCCTATTTTTGAGTATTCTGGTAATCACGAATGGCAAGTTTGTTACCTAGATTTGTGATTTCATCAAACCTGAAGTGATAAAGTATTAGATTAGATCAGTGTTTGGTTAACTTCTGTGAAAGAGGATGTGATTCATTCTGCAGCTGGCTATGTTGTGTTAGTACAACAATTGACAGTAACAAAAATCTATATCCATTTTAAGGTCAGAAGTAAAACTGGACTGCTCATGTTTGTAATAGCTATTTAAAAGGAGAATTGGTTAGCTCTCTGATTCTTTTGAATTTCAGTTTGGTATCATTTATTTTGAAATATTTTTTTAAAAAATAGCTACGACATATTCTCTATAACAAAACTACCAATTTACATTTTGCTCTGTAACAATCTGCCGCTTCTTAGTTTCCACATTTTACTATCTCACTTACATTTTAGTAATTAGATATTGGGCTTTTATTTATTTATATTTTTCCCTTTTTGTCTTTTTTCGTGACCGGCAACGGGATTGCAACCCTTGGTGTCGCACCCACACCACGCTCAATCAGTGAGCGGACCGGTCTCTATATGGGATCCGAACCCTCGGCGGGTGCGCTGCCGCACTCCCAAGCGCCACACTCTACTGAGTGCGCCACTGGGCCGGCCCGATATTGTGCTTTTAGATCTTTTTAAGAGAAACTCTGTGCATGATGTACAGACATGCAATTGTTATTTATGTTCCTTGCTATATCCTGATATGAACATCCTGATGAACATATTAAGAATATTATTCTGAGATTCCATTGACATGTATTTTGATTTTTCTCCAACTTAGTATACTAAATCTCCTTTGAAATCTAAAATGAAACACCAGTACGCTCCTGCCTTGTACACTGCCCTCCTGAAATGAAACTTCACCCACTCATGCATGTTCTTTGCAACCCTGCCGAGTCATCTAATCACCATGATTTCAACTTGTTCTCTTCAGATTTCATGAAAACCTCAATCTCCATGAGTAAAAAGCAAATGATTAATTCACAAAGCCATCCAGCTGGCTGTTAACCTAGAATTTGTGTCTCTTCATTTGTTTTCAGCTCATTTGCTGTTCCTTACTTCCACAAAGCACAAAGCTTCCCGCTGCTGTGACAGGTGCAACACTAAATTCTGGTTTAAGATTTTACAAACTTCCACTTAAGCTTCTGAAGGAAATGAAACAAGGGGGAAAACAAAGATAACACCAGGATCTCTTACCTGTTGCTTGTTGTTGGGCGTGTACGGCAACATGGTAGAAACATGGAACATAATTTCATAGTCTTTGTATGTTGTGTATAGAGAATGGGTTCCAGTGGAGTCGGCTACAGTTTAAAAAAATATATACAACAATAAGAAGACTATAAGAATAGAAAAAACAATTCATTTAAGAGAGAGAAATATCTCAAAAAAACAAAATAGGAAATAATTTAGGATGAAAAGATCCTATTACTTTACATGTAAAGACCTACTACTATGCATGTTTTTACCCATTTTTTTGTACCTGATCGTCTTTGGTGGTCTAGTGAAGCCTATGGATCAGATCCCTTCTCAGAATATTTGTAAATACATAATACAAAATATATAGGATTTCAAAATACATCAATTATATTGAAAAAACACAATTATATAACTTTAAAATATGATATGAACAAGATTTATATAACAAGATTAGCATTTGGTCTAATATTTACAATAACTTTGAAAGGGTAGTGAGCACAAGCAGTATTTTGAGATATCTGTAATGACAAATAATATACAAAATCAGCGAAAACAAAGATAAAATTTTTTCTTTCTTTTTTTTTTT